ATATTGGAACGACATTTCCTAGGGCATATTTATATGATCTCAAATTAATATAAAATAAAAAAACAAACACAAAACCAACCAAACAATAAAACACTATAAGGGACTACAACATAAGAAAACAATCTTCCCTATAGTTACATTCCCCAGAAAATATACTGGCACTATACCTTGTGCAGCAATTTCCTGAAGTTCCTTCAGTAAGTTTTGGTGGCGAAGGATAGAAATAATTCGCTCATCTGCAACAGGGGAGACTTGGTACAGAAAGTAGTCAAAGCAAATCTCCCCCCAACCCCAGGAAATGAAACAGAACCCAAATGTCACTCCCTCTTCATTTGCTCTTTTCTTTCCCTTGGTCTGATTCACTCTCACATCTAACCATGTGATTAAGACAACAGGAAGGTCCTATGAGGACCAGGCAGTTTGATGTCACTCCTGTGGCCACAGTGCCAGCATGAGGCATGGCCTGGGACAAGCAGTGGCTCCATCCCTGCTCCTGGGGCCCAGTACAGCCCAGTGGAAGAGGAAGGTGAACGTGTCAGGGACCCTTAACAGGGGTCCAGGGGCCAGGGCTCAGTTGGTCAGGGCAGGACCAGCCCTACTTGGCAGATTTGCTTTTGCTGATGCCCAGCACTAAGTCTGAGGCAGTACCTCCTCGCAGAGTTTCTAGGCATTCCTCGCTGATCGGCAGGGGGTTTGGCTTAGATAAAGTATCAGAGATGACCTCTACAATGCACTTCATCACCTAGAAAGAGACAAAAATACAAATTAAAGAACTGGTTTTTTGTCTTTTGTTCCTACTTTTTACCAAGGCTAAAGTACAGCAGGTGATGGCACAGATCTTTTTGCTTTTCTGGTCAAGCTGGAACTGAATGTTCAGTTCTTGTTTTCCCTGGCTCAGGAACAGAAGGTGCCTCCTGCAACTGAGAAGCGAGGAAATTACACGTGACAATGGAAAGAGCTTCTTCCACATCACACTCAGTTTAGCTGAGGATTGCATGGCTTCAGACCACACCAGAGTCTGAGCACATCTGGAGAGTAAAGGGTATCTGAATATATACACAGAAAATCCAAAATCATCCAATTTTAAGTCAATATATCTCAACCTCCATCTCATAAAAGGACTCAGCGGGAGGTTGTAGAGAGCAAAAAGTGGTCATAGCTGTTCAATAGATGACCGTGAAATCTTAAAAGTTCTTCAAACCCTGGGAAAGACATCATAGTTAGATTGAAGCCAGGCATGGAAGGTGAGGTGAGGCAAACTACTTTCAAACACAGGTGAGAAATACTGCTCTCAGGCCCTAGAAAGGACAAGACACTTTGGAGAAGTGTTTGACCTTGTGCTTTGAGTGTTCAAGCCATCTGTTAAAGACTGGAAGAGCTCTACATGATGACAGGTCTTCTGAAAGCAAAGAAGCTCTGACACATCTTCTCAGACAGGATGAGCTCTGGGCCCACCCTTTCCAGCAGCCTGCTTTGTTGGTGTAAGACCAGGAGCGTTATTTATGTAATTTGCCACCTGCACTGAGATTGCAGGCATCCTTGCCATGCCAAGACACTGCTGGGAGCCCTAGTGTATGGTCACATAGACCCAAATGATCACACAGGACAGAAATATTCACTACAGTCTGGTGCTGATGGGTAGGGTAGGAATCAGGCTGCTTAGTTCAAAAGGGTGATTTTTTATAATGCAATCTAGAAAAAATGCAGGGTTCGCAATTGCCTGTGGGAAAAAAGAGAGGCTAAATTGAAAAAAAGAATACAAGTTAAGCCTTGGAGGCAAAAAATTCACTCACTGAACCTCTTTCTCCTGATGATTGCAGCAGGCAGCCCTGAGAGCCCTGACCTCCCTCACAATGTACCATTCTCAGGAGAGCAGAGCGCTGTGGCTGCAGTAGAAATTAAACACAAGTCAGCAGTCCCCAGTCATCCACAATGCTGTTCATTGAAGCAGTTGGATATATTCACTGGACAGCTGGAATGGGCAAATTCTCACCCTGTGTAAGGAGAGAATTCTGCTCTTGCAGATCACAGCCATAAAATGTTGAACTCTACACCTTACACAGTTTGAAGGAATTGCCTAATGGATTAAAAATGCTACAGGAAAGATTAAAAAAAAAAAAAGCAAGGGGATTTTCCTGGTATAATTCTCCTATATCACAAGTGATCCATTAATACTGATTTTAGATGACTTTGAGTTACTGTGTCTTTAAATAGAAAAAACTCCAGAATCTGATATTTCCCTCTCATGTTTCCCAACCTCTGGACCCACTTATTATAGCAGTATTTGATGCAGCTTCAGAAGTTAAGACTTTCTCAGCATGAGAAGTAAGACTCTGGTTCAATGAAATTTTCTATTCAAGCTTTTTTAAGACTTCTGAGCTGATCTAAGGTCTTTGTCTGAGCACAAAGAGACACATCACTCACCACAGAAATACATTCAGCTCTGTGGAGGAGCTGTGTAAGGTAATGAAATGAGCAGTGCAGTCATCCTACAACACTCTCCTTGTCCTTCTGTTAGAGGAGGTCTTGCAGAGGGGGACTTCACAAGGTCATGAAACAACAGCCTGCATCAGGAAATGGAGGAGATCCTTTCCAAATGAATGTAATTAATCCAGTGCAGAAACTCAGACTGGAATTTTGCCATAGCTATCATCTAACCATGAGCATGTAACTAGATCCTTAAGAGCAGCTCACAATGTCCCTTCAGAGAAATCTCCAAAGGGTTGTGCCCTTACAAGGACAGGCTTCTCCACATTTGAGCTCAGCTTTGTCCTTCTAAAATGTATGGTTGTAAGTGAGAAATAATATCCTTCAAGCACAAGAGTGGGCAAACACCAGTGACATTGTAAATGCTTTGGTCTTGTTCAGCTCCCTATGGAATGCCCTTGGTGTAAGGAAAGTCTGATGAGCTGTCCAGGAAAGGCCTGCAGGTGCTGACTACCCATTAGACAGCTTTGAGCCACCCACAAATGCTGGTGGCACAGAACAGGGTGTGTAGGAAGAGCTGCAGTGCTTGTTGCTGTATTCGTGTGATGATATCCCTGCCCTAATCTGTTCCATGAGACCAGGAATTCCTTCCATGAAATGCTGTGTCTCAAAGGATGGTGAAGCCCTAATGGCTTCTTCCAATGGCAGCAAATCCAAAAGAAAGCTGATTTTACTCCCTGTGTCAGTGTAATACCCAGGGAAGGGGGGCAGTCTTGGGAAAGTCCTTTCTTGGTGGAAGCATTTCCATGGAGTAGCACCAATGGCCACAAAAGTGCCCATTTTTAACACATAGAATATCCTGGGGAAGAGACCTCACAAGGAGGATCATATGATTAATGGGTTGTCCCATCAGATGCCCACTCTGGCATGGAAAGTTGAAGGGCTAAGTGCCTGTCCCTCATCCTCTTCCTCAGCAGCACACAGCCTGAGGAAGGCACCCAGAGTCTCACAGCTCATGGCTCTGTCCCAGCAAGGGCTAAGCAGGCTAAAAGTCTTAGCAAAGCAACTGCTCTGCAGCCCAGGCACGTCCCACAGGACACAGGGAGGTGTTGCTCATGGCACACACCCTGCAGGTAACTGCAGTGGGGCCTGTGGCTGGGACTGGCATCAGTGTGCCCTTCTCTGCTGCTGCCTGGGAAAAAACATTGTGTGGCTAGAGGATTTCAAACACAAAATGGTTCAAGAAGTAAAAAGCAAAAATGCTGGAGTTTCCTTTGTGGACATGAATGAATTAAAAAAAAAAAAATCATTTGGGCAGCCGAGAGATCAGCTCATAAGAAAGATGGGGAAGGGGGTGGGTCAGGGAGTCATGTCTGACACAGCTAAACACAGGCAAACCCCTCTCTCCAAGCATTTAGGAGCCAAAAGGCCACTGGGAGTGCACGTTTGTGAAGCGTGGCTATAAATGTTGGAGGGTGTGACACAGATATGTGCACACAAGCCTGTAAGGGAGGGCTGGAGAGGTCAGCCAAGTCCTGCACTGCTGATAGCCATCCAGACAGACTGAGCAGGAACTGAGGATGGATTAGCAAGCTGAGAGTACCAGTTGCCTATTTTTCCAGAGCATGCATGTTTAAGTAGCACACAAACTCAGATGTATACACCTCCAAACACACACAGTTCCTGAATCACATCTCCCCCCACTCTCCCCTGAGTCACCTCCTGTTGGGAGCTTTGAAAAGCTGAAAGTAGGAGGACTAAGGAGAGTTTTACCCAGCCTCCATCTCCTCTCTAAACAGGCTTGCCTCATCCCCCTGTCACATCCTGAAGGACTTCCTTGCCTGTCCAGAAGTGGATGCACAAAGGCTAAATTCTGTTAGGAAGGGAGCAGAGGTGGATCCTGCTTGGGGGATCTCATGCAAATTCCTGGCACTTTCTACAGGGTATTTCAGTGGGAGTGGCCCAAACCCAACCACCTAGGTGGAGGTGAGACATCACATCCTTTCTCTTCATTTGACCTACTACAGACTCAGCCTTACCTTAGTGTCGCCTTTATTCATGTCATTTGTCACAGGAAGGGAGACAGCTGTAAGGCAAGGGGAGAGGGAAAAAAAGGAGAACTTGTTATTCATCTCATCTGGAAGACAAGCAGAGAAACATTATTCTGCTAAAATGGGAGTGGAGAAAAGGGGCAACTCTCTCTGATGGAAGTGGTCTCTGGGTGCAGCAGCTGGATGTGTGCACTGTGCCGGGAAGGGAAGGGAAGGGAAGGGAAGGGAAGGGAAGGGAAGGGGCAGGACAAGGCTGTGCTCTCTGTAGCTCTAAGGGAAGGGAAGGGAAGGGAAGGGAAGCGAAGGGAAGGGAAGGGAAGGGAAGGGAAGGGAAGGGA